TGATTTGGAGCAAAGAAAGGGAGAAGAGCAGAGAAAGTAAGCCTTCATTGAGAATGTGGCACCTGAGTTTCACAACGCAGCTGGGACCAGGAAAGGCAGGCCTTGCAGGTACACCCAACAATATAAGAGCAAGTAGGTGAGAAAATGTGGGGTCAGGAGCATTAGGGAGCCCCCCACATTGTTAAATCCAATTTGGATGGAGAAGAGACTATAAAAAAGCAGAGAAATGTAGTTGGAGACAGAGCTTGGGGCCAGGGCCTAGAAGGATCTGGGGACCTGTATACGAAGTCTGGAATTATGGGATAGAGAACGGGAACCCACAACACATATAAGCAGAGTGATATGTGATAGCTGAGCTTTCTGATGAAAACTTTCTGATAAATTAAAAGCTTTCTGATAAAGCTTTTAATCTTCCTACAGTGAAAGAGTAAACAGACACAAAATATACTCAGGAAAGGATGCAATGACTACAATAATAAAGGTCTGTACTGGGGTGGCAAAAACAGGCTGAAAGACATGGATTCAAGAGAAATTATGAAGTGGCAACCACTGGAGCTAAGCATTAAGTTTGATGTAGGTCACCAGTTCGTAACTGGAAGCAATTGTTGCCCCCCTCCCCCCCGGGGTGGGGGGGGACATCAGGCAACGTCTGGAGACATTTTTGATTCTCACAGCTAAGGGGAGTTGCTTCTGGCATCCAGTGTGTCGAGGGCAGGGATGCTGCTGAATATCCTACAGTGCACAGGACAGACCTCCACACAAAGAACTATCCAGCCCAAAATGTCAGCTGTGCTACAGCTGAGCACTCCTGACATAAGGGAAGCAGGAGAGAGGACACATACTATGTCATCTCATCCTAAAAGGATGCTGCCTAGAAGGAATGTTTGACCACTCAGTCAGGACTGCATGCTTCGTTCCTCCAAGCTGTCCCCCACATGTCATGCTGTTTATATCTTTCTTTTATGTGGCTCTTAACGTAGATGAGTTTGAGTGTTCCGAATGATTTTAAGCAAAACTGTACAGCCTCGTCTTCTGCTATTTGCTCCCTTACCCTTCAAAGCTAATTCTCTAGTGATAAGTTCTCATGCCTTCAATCTTGTACACCTACCATTCTTTCTCCTGTCCATTTGGCAAATTTCTCACTTTTGGAGTTCACCCAAGTCTGTGAAGTCATCCTGACACCCAAGGTAGGCTTCCGTGGCCCTTCTCCCACGTACCAACTATCTCCTATACATACTGTCATTCAAGTAATTCTTGTGTTGTACTATATTTTGGGGAGAGGGGGAATATTTATCTCCCTACTGAAATGTAAGCCTGTTCCTTCCACTCTTTCAATCTTTGTTTCCACACACCTTTCCAACTTCTAGGCAGATAAGCAACTGAAAAGTCATTGTCAGGTGAGATGACTGGGTAACTATCTAGGTAACACAGATGATAAAGATTTTATCCCTCTGTGACACCCCTTCATCTCTTCCAATTTCCAGACTTTTGCTAATACCTATGTTCAATCCTACCAAAAATGGTCTCACGATCATTTTTCATGTTCTTCTCCATTTATCCAAAACCAATGTGAATGAAATTAATTTTCTCCCCAAATGATTCTAAAACATAATTCTTCTTTGCAGTATTCCCAAATCTCAGAAACAGTTAGGATCAAATATCACAACAAATTTAGCACTCTAGTTGCCCCATAAAACAAGCTTCAATCTGAACTACAACAGGTAATTCTCCTGGTTGCTAAGTTCTACTTTAGGTCAAAAGCCTAGTGACTAGAGAAATATTTTAGATTCCATTACCCTTCTGGGAATAGTTATCTATCTCTTCTTCCTTCTCCAGTACTCCGGGTCAAAAGCCTTGATGTCCTCCTTGCTTCCTTCCTCCCTTTCTCTTCCACCCCTCTTCCAAAACCATCACCAAATCCTGTCAGCATTAGTATCAAAAAACAGCCAGAACCTGACCACTTCCCTCCTGCTTCACTGCTACCACTCTGGTCCAGAGCATTCTCATCTCCTTTCTAGATTATTGTTGCTGATCTCCCTGAGCTACCTTGTTTATCGGAAGTCTGTTTTCCACAGTGCAGCTAGTGCCAATCTTCTAAAATTAGGGTAACCATATCAATTTATTGTCCAAACCAGATCATGACTGGGTGCAAAGGGGACACTGTTAATAATTATACGAGGTCAAGCTATCTAAAATGAAAGTCAGATCATGTCCTTCTTCTGCTCAACTCCTGCCAGTGGCTTCTCAGCTCCAGTAAGCGCCAAACTCTTATACAAAGGCTTCCAAGGCCAGACAGATCTGTGAAGGGAGGGAGGGAGGGAGCGGCAATTCTACCTCACCTCCTGTCACTTTCTCCCTCAGTAGGTTCTGCTTTAGGCCTTCCACACTTGCTGTGGTCTCCACCTGGAATCCTCAGCCCTGATAGCTGGACAGCTCCTTCAGTTATGGCTCAAATGTCATCTCATTGAAATCTTCCCTGAACAACTTACTCAAAACACATCAGCAATCCTTTCCACCCCCATCCTGCTTTCTTTCTTCCATAGAACCTCTCACATATTATTTATTGTCTGTTTCTCTCTGCCGGGATTCAACCTCCATATAAGCAGGGACTTTGTGTTCACTGCTATATCCCTGGCACCTAAAACAATGCCTGGTACATAATAAGTATTTGTTGGGTGAATAAACTTATATACTTCTGTCTTCTATTTTCCTTTTGAATCTAAAAAGAAATAGACAATAATCATAGTGACCAGGAGTCATTTATAACTGAGAATGTATCCAAAAATTGGCCTTTACCACCTGGGGTGAAAGGTGCCATATTTACTTGGTCAGTGAGCTCCCTGCCTGGGACAGACAGATGGGCCTCTCTTGATTTTCCCTCCTCATACTCTACTCAGTGCAAAGGGGTCAGAACGGCTTTGTAATCTCTCAGCTTGCTCCAGGAGTCTGGGAACTGGTGGTCTACAGCAGAGGAGCCTCGCCATTAGCTGGATCTTATGGCTGCATGTTAATGTGAACATATGCATTTTCCCTAGTTTTCATTAGACTGTCAAAGCCCTGAGCTTCCTTCCTTCCCGCCCAAGAAATGTTTTAAGACTCCACTTTGAGAGGATCTGGCAGGGATATTACAGATACAGCAATAACACTCAGTGGGGATGGGGATGAAGAAAAAGTTGAGCCTTAGACATTGCAGCCCCCTCGCCCCCACCACCAGCATATTAAATTTTCAATCTGCATACACAATAACACACAGATTTGTAGGTTTCTGAGAACAGCAAAGTGAAATTTCTACTTGCTGGATACAAGTAACCAGCTTTATTTAGTTGGGTAACATTTACTTGGCCATGTCCTTTGAAAGGAAGGAAGGGAAGAAGGGAGGGAGGGAGGAAGGAAGGAAGGGGCAATAGGCATTATTTTCAAAAAGGTGGTTGTGCATATTCTCTAAAAGTGAGAAAACTACATATCAATACTTCCTACATAGATAAATATCCCCAAGTAAACTGAATTTTCTGTGGTGCTGAAACTCTGACAACTCAAAAAAGGCACATTCCATTTCTGGTCTACAAGGTGGGCCAGAGTTTTTAAAAGGGAAGATGTTCCCACATGTCAGGAAGGTTTTCCCAGAGAAGATAAAGGAATTGTGCGCAGTTCACCACAAAGCACTTTTCTCAAAGAAACGAGGTTCTTTAGAACAGCTGAACACACTATGAGAAAACCCTCACCCCATCAAAACTCTAAAAGCAGTGAACCAAACCAAACCTAAGGAAAAAAAAAAAAGAAAACAATTGTTTCCAACAGAAGCTTCCTGCTTCACTTGCTTCCAGACCCTACTGGGTTTCCATTCACCTCACTGAGTGCTCCTTCCTGGTGTCCTCTGCTCATCCCTTGCAGAACCAGCTAAGTTTACCTGTTCCTGCCAATGCTCCTTTCACTTTGACATTTGGTATAAAATCCCTTCCCCTTCCTAGCCCCTAACTCTTTTTGTACAAGAAACCACCGTGCTGACCTTTCCCTTCTACCACTTACTCTTCAGAACTCACTCTTTTGTCCAGTCCTTCTTCCACTTCACTATCTGCTGCCCCCTCTCCTCCATCCTTTCCTCAGTTTTCTCTGCTCCTCACCCCTCACCCCACCTCCCTTCTCACTTTAGAGAAGTGATTTGGCCTAAGCTACCTAAATCAGTCATCGGTAGAAACAAAAGTCCTGATCTGCCCAGCTCTGCCTCTTCACTCCTGCACCCCTCACAAAGTCCAGCAATGCACACTGCAAATAACTTGATTCATTACCACTTAGTAATTTCTGCAAAGGACAAAGATATGATCCTTGCCAGAAATCTTCGAGAGAAGGCAAAAATAACTTGGATACAAAGTAAACATGGCGGGTGGGGGGGAAATCAGAGATGAAAGCACAGTTAACGGTAATGTTTCCAAAAGAGTCTCCAAAAGAACAGTGACTCCGTCTTGCTCACCTCTACATTCCCAGCACCTAAGCAGTGCCTGGCACGTTGGAGGTGCTTAACGCTAGTCTGTTAAACGAATGAAAGGCTAAGCGAATGAATGAACACAGCGTGCCTTGCACAGTGCCGTGCACAAAGCAGTAGCTCAGAGAGGAAGCGGCTGCACAGGGAGCTCGGCGGGAGATGCGCCTCAGAGGGGCCTCGGCAGGGGAAGCCAAGGCGCCGCCGGCCCATCGACGGATGTGGAAGACTGCCCATCAAGGCGGCCCGCGGTTCCTCCCCTGTCCCCGCACGCCCGCAGCATCTCGCGCCCCGAACCTTGGTGTCCACGTCGGCCAGGCAGTCCCTGCGGAACTGGTCGAAGAGCCCTTGACTTTTGAGGTGGTTCACGATCATGGCCACGAGCTGCGGGTCCCCGACGCCGGCCCCCGCGCCGCCCGCCCCGCCCGTGCCCGGGCCAGCACCGGGGCCGGGCGGCGGCGGCGGCGGCTGCGGCTGCGGCGGGGGAGGCGGCGGCGCGGGAGGAGGCGGCTGAGGCTGCGGGTTGGTGGCCATGGCGGTCTGGGCCGGGGAGGGCGCGGGCCCGGGCGGCCGGCGCTCCTGGCAGGCGGCGGCTGCACAGGTCCCGCCGCCTGAGGTAAGCCAACGGAATGTTGTTACGGAACCAGCGGATCCAGGGCAACCCCGGAAGTGAAAGGGAACCGGGGGAAGGGAGGAAAAGGCGGTGACAATAGCAACGAAGGTCCGGCTACGGGGGCCGCGAGGGGCCAGTTACAGCAGCCTCCGACTGCGGGCGCCCTCGCAAGGCTGGGCCGTGTGGGAAGCGGCGGCGGGCGGCGGGCGGCGGGCGGCGGGCGGCGGGCGGCTGGCTCTGCGCGCGGGTCTTAGGTCTGGAATCCAGGACAGTCGGGCGTTTGACTCACGCGACCCCCAGGACCTGAGGGCCGACTGGGCGCCGTCTAGCACCTGGCCGGGGCGGAGGAGCGAAACGTTGACCGTTGGTTGGTTACAACCGCGGTGGCGTTTAGGCCTGATGCTGTTGCTCCTGATTCACGGAGCAGTCGAGATCCATAGACGTTCGCATCCGTAGACATGCGACCCGTTGGTAGAACTGCTTAGTCCAAACTCTCGCAGCCCTCTTCGTTCTCAGTCTGTGATCCTGCCCATTTTTCTTCCAGGCAGGTAGCTCCAGGGGCCTCCTGTCTCTCTCCTCCCCGTCCCATCCCGTTTTCTCTTGAGCATCCCGTTGCTCTCCGAGTGTGCCTGTGGTCTAGAACCCGATCCCTCCAGCACCTCCTTCCTATCCGTGAAGACAAACCGCCAGGCTTTTAGTTTTTAGGGTGTTGCTGTTGATTAGTTTGATCGATAAGTAATGCTTGCTTATATAGCACGCACTAGGAGCCAGGCGTGGCGTTTAGAGCTTTCTATGTGCATTAATTCACCCAGTCTTTGGAACAGGGCTAAACTGGGTCTTATTATCACTAATTTGCATATCAGGAAACTGAGATGCGAGGAGATTAATTGTCCAAGGTTACACAGAGAGCAAACCGCCTGATTCTTGACTGAGTTATCTTTAAAATTATTCTTAGTACACGATCAAAGCAAAATAAATATTACAAATTTTCATAATTATTCAATAGAATGTAAAAGTTATGGGAAAATACATCTCAGTGAAATGGATTTTGTTGCTTTTTAAAATTCATAGATCTGTGGATGAATATGTCTTATTGCTAGAACGGAAAGGATTGAGCAACAATTCTATTCGTATTTCTAGTTTTTATAGCTGTATGACCTGAGAAATTGTGTTCATATAAACAAGTACTGTACCTGGGAACGGAGTTTTATTGTAGCAATACTCAATTCTTGATCTCAAAAAATTAGATTTGATGATCTTTGAGCTGGCCGTTCAATTAGTCCTTCAATTTTCTTGAAAGCAAAGAATTGAAAACCACCTGACTTGCCAAAGGATTTGTTTACCTAGTCCTTATTCTTCCACTTTTTCGGTTACTAGAAAATATACCAGATAGGCTTTATCAAGACATCAAATGATTAGAGTAGGGTGTTAAAAAAGAAAAAAAAAGACATCAAGTGACTATGAATTAGACTGTTTTAAAAATGAGATGTACCTTGTTTAACCCAATATACTCAAAGTTTGGGAAAAACATTGTTCATTTGCATAAATAGTTTTGGATAAAATGCATTTTTTTTTTCTTTTGGTTACAGGTGGTTCAGTTTTGTTTTGTCAAAACTTTGCAGCTAATGAAATAGTTGATTAAAGTTAAAACTGTCAAATATAGGAAATATTTGTCATATAACCTAATTAACAGCCATTTTCATTGTCTGACTACCCAGATCAGCCTGATTGGATTTACTTTCTATCAGAAACAGTTTGACTTCATTGTTTCAATTCAAATAAAGTGTCCTGCATTTTTTTTTTTTTTTTTTTTTTTGCGTTATGCAGGCCTCTCACTGTTGTGGCCTCTCCCGTTGCAGAGCACAGGCTCCAGACGCGCAGGCTTTGCGGCCATGGCTCACGGGCCCAGCCGCTCTGCGACATGTGGGATCTTCCCGGACCGGGGCATGAACCCGTGTCCCTTGCATCGGCAGGCGGACTCTCAACCACTGCGCCACCAGGGAAGCCCAAATGTCCTGCATTTTGAGGAGTATAATGAAGACTGCAGAGAGCAGAAGTCGTGCAATAAAAGCTTTATCACTAAAAGCAAATCAAGATCAAAATGGTATAAGATATAAGTTTTATCGATTTTCAAAATTAGTTATGAAAACAAGATGAGAATATGACGTTGCCCTTTAGTTAATTACCAACAATGCAATACAATATATTGTTAAATGTATATAGTACTTATTGTGTGTAGTAGGGTAAAAGGCATGGTATTTCTTTGGTGTATATAGATGTGTGTATCAAATTTACTCAACTATTTGGGAATAACTAAAGAGTCATCCATAAGAATTCAGCAAAATTCCATAAATTTAATTAGGCAAATGATCAAACTTAAGAAAATAATGAAACAATAAGATATTTGCTGCTAAAAATGAATTGGTTCAGTGGCTAGTAAATAATTTTATGTTTTGTAAACAACATATAGAAAATCCTAAATATTTTTAAAACATCATAGGGTGAGAATTAACTATATTCTGTTTTTACTTTTTTATTGATATTATTAATTTTATTTATTTTGATTCATTGGTTACTCAGTATTCCAATTTTTTTTTTTTTTTTTTTTTTTTTTTTGGCTGCGTTGGGTGTTCGTTGCAGGCTCTAGAGCAGAGGCTCAGTAGTTATGGTGCACAGGCTTAGTTGCTCTGCGGCATGTGGGATCTTCCCGGACCAGGGCTTGAACCCGTGTCCCCTGCATTGGCAGGTAGATTCTTAACCACTGCGCCACCAGGGAAGTCCCCAATACTCCATATTTTTAGAGACATTTAAAAGTACATATTTCTGTGATTGTAAGGTTAATACTCGTAGAAAATTTGAGAACTATAAAATACAAAAGAGAAAAGAAAAACAGTCTCTTTTTCAGATAACCACTATTAACGTGTTAGTATGAATCCTTTTGGATATTATATTGATATATATGTATATACAATTATTCAATTTTTTAAAAAACTAGGTAATACATTCAAATGGAACACAGTGGAATATTAAGTCTCTCCCCTGTGCCCCAGTTTCCCTACCCAGAAGCAACCTCTATTACCAGTGTCTGGTATAATCTTCCAGAGATGTTACACACACACACACACACACACACACACACACACACACACACACGTGTTTTAAATTACTCTTTATAGTATTTATTGGTGAAAATTATAAATCATGGTTGGTTTAAGATGATGGGTCCCTTTTCTGGTCCAATATGGTTTCTTTTTCTTTTAGTTTGTCCCACTTCTATTAATCCTATTCTTTGCCTATTATTTTGCAGAATTATCAGTCTCTGCGTGTGTTCCAAATTCACTGGAAGTATTGAGTTTTTATAAACGGTATTCCTAAGAAAATGTACTTCTACAATATGCTCTATAAAATGTCTCTAGTAGTTACACAAAGAAAAGTTTTACCTTTCATGGTTCCCTTAAACTTGCTCTGAGTGCTCTAATTTAGACCTCTATAGGGATTGGACAAGGCAATTTAAATTCTGTTCCTTTTGGCAAAAAAAGTAGAAAATTATAATTTAAATAGATAATTCACAATTGATTTTATAAAATGTATGTTAACTGTCTTATTGAATAACACACAGTTAATCTAAAAGAAATGAGAATATTTGTATCCATGGGTTTGTTACACTGGTTACACACAGACTGGGTACAGTGTAACTTTGAACAATTTTTTAGCCTTGGAAAGCATTCTAGTTACATTGAAAAGAATCAGGGTCACTGATCTGTACTGCTTTGTCTGTTCCAAGGTGCTTTTCTTTCCATTTGAAGGCAGGTCCTAGGGATGAGTATTGTGAATACCTAGGGGGAAAATGGTGTACATTTAAATCTAAAAAAGGAGGGGAAAAAAGCTGTTTTAAGCAGTCATCATTTCTTACCAATGGCCTTGTTGCTTTGTTCTCTTCTCTTACAGTTTCTTTAGAATCAGTAATATAATTTTTGATAATAGTGGGGGCCCTCTTGGTGAGGTGTTCAAAAAAACTTGCCATTGCTCCCCTACCCCACTGTATGTATGTCTGAATTCAGAGCATCTCAGCAAGAATCAAATACTTTCTCCTTTTTTTTTTTTTTGCCGTACGCGGGCCTCTTACTATTGTGGCCTCTCGCATTGCGGAGCACAGGCTCTGGACGCGCAGGCTCAGCGGCCATGGCTCACGGGCCCAGCCACTCCACGGCATGTGGGATCTTCCCGGACCGGGGCACACACCCGTGTCCCCTGCATCGGCAGGCGGACTCTCAACCACTGCGCCACCAGGGAAGCCCACTCTCTCCTTGAATATAATCGAGCTTTCATTTGGTTTCCCAAGTTTGATGCTCCGGTGACTTTAAACAAACTTTACAAATACTTTGGGAAGGAGGGGAACAATGGTGGGTTATTATGGCAGCCATTACTGGTAGCCATTTGTGTCCTTGGGCACCAGATACCTGCCAAATATCTGACCCCTGTGATTTCCTCTCTTTTCTACAGCCCAGCCTGCCCCATCGCCACCCCTACCCAATCCTCCAAACCCTGTTTCCGGGGGCTAGTCCTGTGAAAGTCAAACATCAGTTTACAGTGATCTCCTAACCCCAGGGAGCCCATATGCTTATTAGGCAGAGTCATTTGTTCCCATTCCAAACCAGGCCCCAGGCCTTGCCTTTCATAATCAAAAGGCTGATGAATATTATTTCCTAAATGACTCTCCATCAACTCAAAGTTCAGTTGAAATCTTGAAAGTTCACTTTTTCAGTGATAACAGAACACATTTTAAGGTGGGGTTCAAAACACCCCCATTAACAGTTTTTGTAAGAGGCGGGGAAGAGGATAAGATGTATTATTTGTCTTTCCAAAGCAAACTCTGTGGTCACAGCTAATTTCTATATTTCTGCTGCAGTGTACAATAGTCAATGAAGGTGGAGATGGTAGTTGGGCAGAACATTTTATAAAATGTTAATGTGAGAAGGGGAATTTCTTTTTCTCCTGAAACA